GTAAAATGAGCTTACAAGATTGTAAACAGGGAACCAGAGATAGCAATTGGCAAGTGAAGACAACTACAAACAAAAAGAGGGAAAAGACTGTGTAGATGTATTCAGTTTAATGATGCACTGTTATGAAGAAAATAACCAGTTATGTGGTAGAATCAGGCCAAAGATAACAAATAAATACAGAAATTGAATAATAAAGTAGTGAGGACTACAGGAATTGTAATTTACATTCGGCATTCAAGTTCTTTTTAATGGGATGTAGCCTTATTCAGAAAGAAAGCCTGCCTCACTGAAGATGTTACATTTGACTTTAGTGTGAATAATAGTAGTTAAGTGCTTAACTGTTAACCAAAAGGCTGGCAGTTTGAACCCAAGCACTGCTGTGTAGCAGAAAGATGTGGCAGTCTGCTTCCATAAAGATTACAGCCTAGGAAACTCTTTGGGGCAGACAGAAACCCTCCGTCCTATAGGGTAACTATGAGTCAGAATCAACTAGCATTGGATTAGGGTTTTTTTTTTTTTTTTTTTTTTTAAAAAATTTGGAATGTTTTTTTTTTTTTTTTTTTTTTTTTTTTTTTTTTTTTTTTTTTTTTTTTTTTGATAAATAGGAAAGGGCCAGCTATGGAAAAGGCTGGAGTAAGAAGCTTCCAGCATTTCAGAGGCCAGTGCCAACCGAAAAGTACTTACTCGTTGCCACTGAGTAGACCCTAACTCACAGTGACCCTGTGTTTCAAAATAAAACAGTGCTGCATTAGGGTTTTTAACAGCTGTGATCTTTTGGAAGTCGACTGCCAGGACTTTCTTCCAAGGTGCCCCTGGGTGGACTGAACTGCCAACCGTTTGGTTGTTGTTGTTGTTATGTGCCGTCGAGTCAGCCCTGACTCATAGTGACCCCTCCTTGGGTTTCCGAGGCAGTATCACTACGGAAGTAGGATTGCCCAACCTTCCTTCCGAGGAGTGGCTGGTGGGTTTGAACCGCCAGCCTTCTGGTGAGCAGTCAAGTGTCTTAGCCACTATGCTACCAGAGCTCCCTTTGGTTAGCTCACCGTTTGGTTAGTAGCACTTAATTAACCATTTCTGCCACTCCTAAACCAGCTGCAAGTTGATTCCACCTCATGGCAACCCTGTGTGTGTCAGAGTAGGACTGTGCTCCAGAGTCTCAATGGCTGATTTTGGGAGGTAGGTCGCCAGGCCTTTCTTCCAAGGTGTCTCTGGGTGGACTTGAACTTCCAACTTTTCTGTTAACAGATGCGTGTTTAAACCATTTGTACCACCGAGGGACTCCAAAGAGTAACAGGGAAGGGGAATGTATGTAATGAATTAAAAAAGAAGTGGCCAGGGACCAGATCATACAAGGCATTGTGGCCCATCGTAAAAAGAATGTGCATTTTGCTCCAAGGACAATGAAACAGCATAGGGCCAATAAGAGTAGGTGGTTTCCAGAAGTACTGCAGTTCCAGGTCAGGAGTGACCTTATAATAAATCTTCCTTAAGGTAGTGGGAATAAATCTGGTCCTTGTAAACAAAAGAGCCTAATTAAAAAGGAAATGAAGGAAACAGTATCTACATTTACTCAGCACTAATTCTGGCCCCAACACTCTGAAGCCCTCTACTTTTATTACCTCAGTTAATATAACCTTATACAGTTGGTAATGATAGCCCTACTTTCTTATTTTAGTAATCGAACTCAGAGAGGCGAGGTAACTTGTCCAAGGTATCCAAGCTAGTAAACAGCACTTGAAGGATCTGAACACAGTCTGATTCCAGTGCTCATGTTTTTATACTAGGCCTCTCAAGGTTTCTGAACACATCAAAACCCAAACGAAGCCTTTGCCATTGAGTCAATTCCAACCCCTAGTGCTCTGGTGGTGGTGTAGTGCCTAAGGCATCTGACTGCTAACCAGAAGGCTGGCGGTTCAAATCCACCAGCCACTCCCTGGAAGGCAGTTTGGGCAATCCACTTCCATAGCAATACCGCCTGGGAAACCCAAGGAGGGGTTGCTATGCGTCAGATCCGATTCGATGGCGGTGAGTTTGGTTTGTGTGTGTGTGTTGTGTGCGCATGTGCATGCTGAGTGGGTAGGCATCTGGCTTTACCCAGAAGGTTGGTGGTTCAAACCCACCAGCCACTCCACAGGATGAAGATGAGGCAATCTTCTTCTGTAAGGATTTACAGCCTTGGAAATGCTATGGGAGTCACTATGAGTCTGAACTGACTTGATGGCAGTGGGTCTGGTTTTGGTAGTGACCCTATAAGACAGAGTAGAACTATCCCATAGGGTTTCCAAGGCTGTAAATCTTTACAAAAGCAGACTGCCTCATCTTTCTCCCTCGAAGTGTCTGGTGGGTTCAAACTGCCAACCTTTTGATTAGCAGCCAAGTGCTTAACTACTACATCAACAGAGCTCCTTTCTGATACACACTAATACCTAACCGGCATGTCAGAGGTCAGTTGTGCTAGAAAGAACATTTCAGTACACAAAAAGTATATATGCTTGATTCAATCTGTTTTGCCCCTAGAGTGTTTTGGCTTCAACTTTAAAGACTGATCATATGGGAGAAATGAAGGGAACACAATAATGCATTCTCTTTATTTCACTAGATTATAGGCTAAAAGACAACTGTTCCTTATTTCTTTAGCTCAGACCACTGTACTGAACATAATGATCACTCAGTAACATGACAGAAAATATTATGTTTGTGCCAGATTTTGACCCTGACCACCTCCTTCCCAGTAAGAGTGATCTGACTCAACAGATATGATATTCTCCTAATCCGTAACAATTATACTTTGCTGCCACCTCTTTAGAAAATAAAATGCACAAAGTTTGAATCAAGGGGGTCTCCTAAATATTTCAATTTTTCTTAATTAAAAAAAAAGTAGAGAAGTATTGTTGTTGTTGTTGTTGTTGTTTGCCGTCGAGAGAAGTATATACGAGGGAATTTGAGAGCATCAGTTTTAAGTATTAAATATTTTGAGCAAAAATAAGGCCTTTGAACATAACAAAGGCCAAATCTGATCATGTATACAAGGATGAGGGGATATTATAAACTTTAACATGGCAGGATCCTATATCCGTACCTATGAAAGAGGATTCTACAACTGGAAGTCTTGTTAAGACTAGAAGGAATTCGGTTTTTCACTGAACGATGTCATAGCTTTGATCTGGGAGCTCTCCTAGTTTAAATCCTTTATTTTACAGATAAAGAAATAAACTGCCTAAAGTCACACTGCACATTAATATCCAAAGTGAGATTAAAACTCTTGCATCTCAACTCCCAGTACTTTTTCTGTTACTTTACATTTTTTCCTTATTTCACTTCTTTAGGTAATCAATGTCTAAACACTAGCCTTAGGAATACTGGGAATGACTGGGAAATACCGGACAAAACTTAAGAGTCCTAATGGACTTCCTAGAAGATGTTAAGTTCTATAAACTCTCAGGTCACAGATAAAGATCTAAGGGGAAGCAGTTTAAAATGAGTGGACCACAGCTGCTTCGGGAAGATAACAGCCATGAAAACCCTATGGAGCAGTTCTACTCTGCACACATGGAGTCACTATGACTCAGAATGGACTCCACAGCAACTAACAAAACACACGCAGCCCGGAATACTTTGGGTTACAGTGATCTTGAAACTTCCCTGGAACTTGTCTCTTCTTGTTTCAACCAAGAATGACTTACGTGCTGCCTACCTTCTGGGCCTGCCCCAATGTCCAAATGAAATAATGAATATTCAAAGTGCTGTGCAAACCAACAAGATTATGATACTCAAATTGCAGCTGAAGGAGCCTTTGGTCTCAGAAGATTAAGGTTCGAGTCTGGCCACTAACTCAATGCAAATCAGCTTTCCTTGTCTATAAAATGGATACAATAACAAATGCTACCCGACACTAAGAGGTGGTGAGTTCCGAGCTGTAAGACGCGGGTCAAAACGTGAACCAAGATGGTTATTTACTTCCCCAGCCGCTCCTCACCTTCTGCACCTGCTGTGCGAGCGCCACGAGGTCTAACGGGTCCCCAGCCCGGTGGGTGTGGTAAGGGCTTACCAGGGCCAGGCCGTCAGGGTTTGGGGTGAGCTCCACCAGGGCTCCTACGACACACACCCAGGAACATAGGCTGTGAGCTCCTGCCTTCGGCCTCCCGTGGAGCCCAGGAGACTAGCTGCTCCGTGAGGGCTTCTTTCCCTTTCTGACTCCCGCCTCGCGCCTCTCCCTCACCTGTTGCCGACTGAATCCCTTGATTTTCAGTGGCTCCCTCGGTCCGCGACGGTGTAGCAGCGGCCGCCATGACAGTGCCTTATCTTACCTACAATCAGACCGGTACAAGTCGGAAGAGCATGCGCATAAGGGCTCGTGGGAGGAGCTTCCGTGTTCCTTGGCCATTGGGCGTCAGAGCTGCTGAGCAAGGTCGGAACTCAGAGGCGGGGCTCCAGCTGAGAGGCGAGGTCCAACCTGGTCGAGAACTGGAGACGGTGCGAGCCTACTGGGCATGCGTCGCCCGGCTCGGGAGGCGGGACTTCACTCGGGGGCGGGCCATCTCCGGGGGTGGGTCTGTGGCCTCCGTGGCGGGTGGAGACAGGTCCCGTTAGATTTGCAAAAGCGATGGCGGCGTGCGTTTTGAGCTTGGTTACGACTCTGTTGGCTGCCGCCGCCGCTGCCTCTCAGGCCGAGGTGGAGTCCGAGGCAGGATGGGACATGGCAGCGCCTGACGTGCTCTTTGCCGAGGGGACCGCGGCCTATGCGCGCGGGGACTGGCCCGGGGTGGTACTGAGCATGGAGCGGGCGCTGCGCTCGCGGGCAGCCCTGCGCGCCCTCCGCTTGGGCTGCCGCACCCGTTGTGCTGCCGACCTCCCGTGGGAGCTGGACACCCACTCGCCCCCGAGCTTGGGCCAGGCCTCGGGCACTGCCGCCCTGCACGACCTGCGCTTCTTCAAGGGCCTGCTGCGTCGGGCCGCCTGCCTGCGCCGCTGTCTCGGGCCACCCGGAGCCCACTCGCTCAGTGAGGAGCTGGAGTTCGAGTTCCGCAAGCGGAGCCCCTACAACTACCTGCAAGTTGCCTACTTTAAGGTGCAGCCCTACCCGGGTCTGGGCGGCAGGGGTCTTTCTGGAGAGAGGCGTGGTTGCAGGCGATCCAGGGAAGCATAGGGGACCTGAGAAGTATCTGCCGAGAGGAACGGTGGCCTCTTGGCCGGGGAGCATCCTCTGACTTCTCCCCGGACCCAGGGAGGGTAAGGACCCTGCCACGAGACCTACATCCCCGGGTTCACATAGATACATGCTTACCCTAGCAGTTCAGCTTGGGGCTAAGGCACAGACCGAGTAAAACTTGCCTTTTTGTTCCCCGGGGTTCTCCTAGAGGGAATTAAAGTTGCAGGTTGGGTCTCACACCCTGACTTCATTACAAGTGTCCGAGTGAGAAACTAGGACCTTTCTACAATATCTTCCTTCCGGTTCGTTTTTCCACGAGGCTTTTCCTGCTGCTTCAATCGAGCAGCTCTCATTTCAGGACGTGAAGTTGCCACGTCGCCAGCAGGGGCTGCCTGGCCCTTGCCTATGGGGGACCCTCTGACTGGTCTGTCAGTCTTCCAAAGAAAATGAGTATTTTTGGGAAGGCCCGATTAAGTTCAAATATATACATGGGCTTGAGCTCTCCTAGCTGTGTGATTGATGATGATGGTGATAGTTAATAGGCCCTGGGGCTGTGCCACCTGGCACTGTTTTGAGGCTTTACATTTATTGAATCGTTTGCTCAGATCCTCACAATATCCTGGTAAGTAGGTGCTGTTATTCGCCCCATATCACTGATGAGGAAACTGGAGGCACTAAGATAATCTTTCCCCAGACCACTCACCTGGTAAGTGGTGGATTCTAATGTATTCTGATAATAACTTGAAGGGGGCTAGAGAGGGACTGGCTAGAATTTTAAATATAAAAAGAGAGCTGTGCTGCAAATTTATCAGAGCTGTATTTTGAAAGACCTTCAATTTAACTTGAGAGAGACTTAGAGAATCTTGGAGAACTCAAATTTCTACCTCTCCACAAATATTCTGTTTACTCTTTCCCTAGTTACTGAGAAGAGTACTGGACTTGAGACCAAAATAATGGGACTATGTAGCGTACTGCCTAAGGCATTTGACTGCTAACCAGGAGGCTGGTGATTCAAACCCACCAGCCACTCCTCTGAAGGAAGGTTGAGCAATCTACTTCTGTAGTGATACCGCCTCAGAAACCCAAGGAGGGGTCACTATGAGTCAGGTCTGACTTGATGGTACATAGTAACAACACAACATGTCCTTGGTCATGCCATTAACAGAGCTTTCTAAAATTCACTGACAAACATGTTGAATACCCATTACATTCCAGTTGTTGTACAGATAACTAAAATGCTTGACTTTTGTAGCTTTTGTTTTGTTTTGTTTTACTGTTAAGAATCACTGTAGTAAGGACTACTAAAGTGGCATGAAGATAAGACTGTGGAAGCATGGAGGAGGGAGAGTTTAGCTTTCACTCAGAGAAATTAGGCTGGAAAGAAGAGGTAAGTGTTGAAGCTGGTCCTAAATATTGCTAGTGGGGGGAGAAAAATGACCATTATAGACAGAGGGAAAAGTCAAGTCACAGCATGATATATTCAAGGGAATAGGTCAATTTTTTGTGACTGGGGTATTGGATGTGTGTGGTGAGTTGTGACAGAAGACTAGAAAAATAAGTGAGGCCATGATCATTAGCCATTAGAGAGATGCAAATCGAAACAACCGTGAGATACCATCTCACCCCAGCATTAATAGCAAGGTTCAACAAGATAGAAAATAATAAATGCTGGCGAGGATGTGAAGAGATTGGGACTCATACACTGCTGGTGAGACTGTAAAATGATGCAACCACTGTGGAAATCGGTATTGCAATTCCTTAAAAAGTTGGAAATAGCAATACCATTTGATCCAGCAATCCCATTACTAGGTATATATGGTAAAGAAGTGAGCCAGGACACAAATAGATATATGCATACCCATGTTCATTGCAGCACTGTTCACAGTAGCAAAGAGAAACAGCCTAAATGCCCGTCAGTGGAGTAATGGATAACTGAACTGTGATGTATACACACAATAGAATACTATGCAACACTAAAGAATATAGAATCTGCAAAACACCACATAACCTGGATGAACTTGGAGAACATTATGCTGAGTGAATTAAGTCAATCATAGAAGGACAAATATTGTATTAGTCTACTATTCTAAAAAGTCAGGGAAAGATTTTTATATAGGAGGGAACATTATTGGTTACCAGGGATGGGAGGGTGAGAGGGGGTGTACATTCCTAGATACGTTGGG